CTAACAAATGTCACCCCAACAAATTCAGTAAAAATAAAATAAGTAAACAAAAAAATAAATGAATGAATGAGATATTAGAGGAACCTAAGCCCAAATTCGTGCAGAATAAACAAAGGGATGGAGCCGAGTAACAGCTGGTCCTTTAGATAGGGCATGTGCTATTTACTATTTCGGACAATTGTCCACATTTATTGTCCATCTGGCTTATTTCACTGATTAAACAGCAAAAACCAGGAGGACATGTGAAATTTGCTATTCCTAAATTATAGGACAGTAAACCAAGTCTTTGTTGGCTGTTTAAGAGTGATCTTTTGTGACCACCTACACTGACAAGTTATCTTCTCTCAAGTCACTTTTATTGTGAAGATTTTCTTAATAGGTTCAAAATAATTTGTTGTGGTCCTTAAGAAAAATCAACATCAGTGGAGCATTCAATTAACAAAGGTTAAAATCCCATAGATATTTATGTTAAAAAGCATTTATGTACAGAATAATAGAGTAGTTCTTCAAAAGAGTGATATGTTTATATGACTAAAAAGTAATTTCACAGTTAGAAAGCTCTTCCAATATTTCACATACTAATATTTTTTTTGTTTTGTTAATCCTCACCCAAGGATATTTTCCCATTGATTTTTAGAGAGTGTAAGGGAGAGGTAGAGACAGAGAGAGAAACACTGATGTGAGAGAAACACATCAACTGGTTGCTTCCCGCACATGCTCTGACCAGGGTTGGGGATTGAGCCTGCAACCAAGGTACCTGTCCTTGACCAGAATCAAACCCAGGACCCTGCAGTCCATAGACCAATGCTCTATCCATGGATCCAAACTGGCTAAGACCAATATTCTAATTTTTAATTTGATGTTGATAAAACCTTTGTGTTATAAGATTGGCTAGGCCAGTGGTTGGCAAACTCATTAGTCAACAGAGCCAAACATCAACAGTACAACGATTGAAATTTCTTTTGAGAGCCAAATTTTTTTAAACATAAACTTCTTCTAATACCACTTCTTCAAAACAGACTCACCCAGGCCACGTTATTTTGTGGAAGAGCCACACTCAAGGGACCAAAGAGCTGCCTGTGGCTCGCAAGCCGCAGTTTGCCGACCATGGGGCTAGGCAGATCTTATTGTCCCTCACAGATATCAAAACATAAAAGAGACAAGAGCCTTCACTAAGGTCACCCTACTTAATATGGCAAAGATAGGCTCAGAATCCAGTTGTGTTAATTTGTAAGTCCTGTGGCTCCTTCCATTACAATACACTGCCTCTACTGCCTCTCATCCACTACTATCCTAAAAATGGTAGAAAAGCTATTCAGGGATTACAGAGAAATGTAGTTCAATAGGAGACTGGAAGTATCTATTCAATGACTCTGCAACAAAGTCTACAAAATTCATTCTGATTTCAAGAACAGAACTGGCCCTTCACTCACTTTCAGATTCCCAAAGGAGAGTCATTCATTTCTATGGAACTGCTTGGCACTGCACTTGTATGCCATACATATCTCATCTTACCAATTATTTTGAAAGATTTTTCCAGGCGAGGGCAACTGTTATGCTGCATTTTGCATCCATTGTAAATGCTCAATGCTTCATTATTTCTACACAAAATTTAACAAATAACTCATCTTTCATTCCAGGAAACAAAGGCTAGAAACAGCCTTCATTAATTTTCAGAATTAAAGACAGACATCTAAATTGTAATATGAAGGAAACAAAAATAAGAAAAGGTACTAGGGATTACAAGTTTTGTGTATATAAACCTTAAATAATTAAGCCCTCTTTTTTCTCATCAGGTGAAAAAATAATTTAAAAAATAAAATCTAACTTTAGAGGGTTGACATGATTTTACATATAACATATAAAAGATTTTTTAACTTAAAAATATATCTATAGATGTCTGAATTTGCTACCACTAAGCACCAATAAAAATCTTTGTTTTAGCTTAATGATTTTTTTATTTTTTTTAATCCTCACCCAAGGATATATTTAGTGATTTTAGAAAGGAGGAAGGGTGCCGAGACCGGTTTGGCTCAATGGATAGAGCGTCGGCTTGGGGACTGAAGGGCCCGGGTTCGATTCCGGTCAAGGGCATGTACCTTGGTTGCGGGCATATCCCCAGTAGGGGGTGTGCAAGAGGCAGCTGATCGATGACTCTCTCTCATCGATGTTTCTAACTCTCTATCTCTCTCCCTTCCTCTCTGTACAAAATCAATAAAATATATATATAAAAAAAAAAAAAAGGAGGAAGGGAGAGAAACATCAATTGTACCTCCTCTACATGTCCTTTTAGGCTTATGAACATAAAGTCTTCATAAGACAGTGCATTTATTTATTTATTTTGTTAATCCTCACTATTAAAAAACTTTTTATTGCTTTCAGAGAAGAAGGGACAGGGAGAGATAGAGAAACATCAATGATGAGAGAATCATTGATCGGCTGTGAGTCAAGGTATTTTAAAACTTTACTTAGAATGGAAATCAGCTCTAGCTGGTTTGGTTCAGTAGCTAGAGTGTCAGCCTGTGGACTAAAGAGTCACAGGTTTGATTCTGGTCAAGGGCACATGCCCAGGTTGTGGGCTTGATCCCGTTGGCAGCCTGCAAGAGACAGCCAATCAATGATTCTCTCTAATTATTGATGTGTTTCTCTCTCTCTCCCTCTTCCTGAAATCGATAAAAATAAAAAGAATGAAAATCAGAGAGTAAGTAGGTAAAATAAAAATCTAGGAAAGAGCCCTAGTTGGTTTGGCTCAGTGGATAGTGTGTTGGCCTGCGGAATGAAAGGTCCCAGGTTCGATTCTGGTCAAGGGCATGTACTTGGTTGTGGGCACACTCCCAGTGGGAGGTGTGCTAGAGGCAGGTGACTGATGTTTTTCTCTCATCAATGTTTCTAACTCTCTCTCTCTCTCCCTTCCTCTCTGTAAAAAATCAATAAAATATTTTTTAAAAACATATTTTATTGATATTTTACAGAGAGGAAGGGAGAGATACAGAAACGTCAATGAGAGAGAAACATTGACCAGCTGCCTTTTGCACATCCCCTACCGGGGGTGTGCCCACAACCAATGTACATGCCCCTGACCGGAATCGAACCTGGGCCTTTCAGTCCGCAGACCGATGCTCTACCACTGAGCAAAACCGGTTTGTTTCGGCCAATAAAATATTTTTTTAAAAAGGATTTTAAAAAAATCTAGGAAAGAAATACAGTCTCTTAATTTGGATTAGAATAAGAGCAACATTTTATCCCTGCACAATGACAATGATTGGATATACACCAGTCAGTGGAAATTAATTTTACACACCAACTAATTTCAGAACACTTATTTTCCTGTCAAGTACTATTCAAGGACTCCCCAGCAAGGCTTAATGCCATGCTACTAATAATTTACTATAGCACCATTTACAAGAGCAGATTTTTGGAAAACTATATCATTTGAGGATTGGTTAAATAAATTGTGGTATGTCCACATGATGGAATACCATGCAACCTTTAAAAAAAGAGAAAAGGCTCTCTTTGTATGTTATATTTGGTTTTTTGTTTGATTAAATATGTTTTTATTGAGTTTTTGAGAGAGAGGAAGGGAAAGGGAGAGAGAGAGAGGAAACTTCGATGAGAGAGCAACATCATCAAATGGCTGCCTCCTACATATTCCCTACTGGGGGATCGGGTCCCAACCTAGGCATGTGCTCTGACAGGGAATCAAACCAGGACCTCCTGTTACATGGGCTGACCAATAAGCCATACTGGCCAGACTGTTATATTTGTTTTTAATCCTTGATTTTAAAAAAGACTAACGGTTTTGCCGAAACCAGTATGGCTCAGCGGTAGAGCGTCGGTCTGAGGACTGAAAGGTCCCAGGTTCGATTCCGGTCAAGGGCATGTACCTGGGTTACGGGCACATCCCCCGTGAGGGGTTTGCAGGAGGCAGCTGGTCGATGTTTCTCATTGACATTTCTGGCTCTCTATCTCTCTCCCTTCCTCTCTGTAAAGAATCAATAAAATATATTTAATAAAAAAATTAAAAAAAGACTAATGGTTTTAATGTTGCTTAGCTTCAGTTTGAAGTGCAACTTTCACTAATAACTGCAATAAAAAGCTTTGCTATGAAAAAGAAACAATCTATTGTGGCATAGAATATTAAAAATACATGAACTTTTCAGGTAAACAAAACACTTTCAAAAAAATGTCATGCTGCCAAAACCGGTTTGGCTCAGTGGATGGAGCGTCAGCCTGCGGATTGAAAGGTCCCAGGTTTGATTCCGGTCAAGGGCATATACCTTGGTTGTGGGCACATCCCCAGTAGGGGGTGTGCAAGAGGCAGCTGATCGATGATTCTCTCTCACTGATATATCTAACTCTCTATCCCTTTCTCTTCCTCTCTGTAAAAAAATCAATAAAATATATATTTTTAAAAAATGTCATGCTGCTTCTATAATAATTCTGATCTCAAGGGCCTAAAAGTACACACATTTATTCTCTTAACCCCTAAAGAGGCAGGAAGGGTTGAGAATTACTATACTAAGGACATTAAAGTATCATTCTCAATGGTAGCAGAAAGGGCAAAGGATTCGAGTTAGACAAACCTTGATATGCAGCCTAGTTCTTGCCAGTGGGGGAACTGAGATCAGTTCCTTAACCTTGAGCTCAGAGCCTCAGTTTCTTCATCTATAAAATATGGCCAATCCACTTATCTTGTAGTTTTGTTATAAGGATTGGAGTTAATATATGTGGGGTTTTTTTTGTTTTGTTTTTGTTTTGTTTTTTGGAGTTAATATATGTTAAGCAAACTGCCTAACTCTAGAAAGAATAAAATAATGATAGGTAGTGTTATAGCCATCAAAAGCCTATTAGAATGTCTATTGGACTATAACCATTTATTTGGATTCAATTTTTTGAGAATAAGGTATGCAATGAATATTATATGCTCTCCCAATCTATCACAGAAAGAAAACCAGCCAATAGGATATAATTACCTAGGTGAAACACTTTTTTATACTCACATATTTCATTTCAAACTTCTTGGCCAACATTTCCACTTCTTGCCTCTCTTTATGCTCATCATTAAATGGGTCTTCTGAGTGAATGGGCTTCTTCTGATTCAACGTGAGTGGGAAAAGAAATAAAAGTATTAGTATTAATTCAATCAGAGTTGAATATATCCTTAAATTTGACAATGAGAATCATTTTTTCCAAATATTAACAAATATTAAGTTAGAAGCATTAAAAATAACTGGAAAGAAATGTTGGTTTGTAATAAAAATATTTACAGTTTTAACTGATTTTTTTTTCCTGGTATATTTTATTTTATTTATTTTTTTAATTAATTAATTTATTTTTACATATTTTATTGATTTTTCCCCCCTCCCTCCCTCTTAACTGATTTTTATACAGTCTTTTTTTTTTTTTTTTTGGTGGATAAGAACTTAACAATGCAAACTGCCTCTACTGTAAAATGATTTTATGGTCACCTCATACAAAAGAAGGCTAAAGCATGGATGGAACTGAAAAGCATTATATTAAGCGAAATAAGCCAATCAGAGAAAGATAAATATCATAATGATCTCACTCATTTGTCGAATATAATGAACAAGATAAACTGATGAACAAAAACAGATCCAGAGACAGAGAAGTATAGATCAGACCATCAAACATCAGAGGGAAGGTAGGAAAGGGCGGGGGTAAGGGGGAGAACTCAACCAAAGGACTTGTATGCATGCATATAAGCCTAAACAATGGACAGACACTAGGGAGGTTGAGGGCATGAGGGGAGGGGGGAGGATTAGGGAAGCAATAAGAACACATATGTGCCGAAACCGGTTTGGCTCAGTGGATAGAGCGTCGGCCTGCGGACTGAAGGGTCCGGGTTCGATTCCGGTCAAGGGCATGTACCTTGGTTGCAGGCACATCCCCAGTGGGGGGCATGCAAGAGGCAGCTGATCGATGACTCTCATCGATGTTTCGAACTCTCTATCCCTCTCCCTTCCTCTCTGTAAAAAAATCAATAAAATATATTTTTTTTAAAAAAGAACACATATGTAATACCTTAATCAATGAAGAAAAAAATTTTTAAAAAGAAGGCAAAAGAACTCTAAGAAAATTAGGTAAAAATAAAAACCCCACTTATAACTGTAGTTTGAGATCTTCCCAACAAAGATTAACTGCTTTGGTCAGGAAATGCTTCTAAGGGAATCTCTAGGTTATTAATTTAGAGTCAGCATTTAATCATCTGCGCTGTGTTATCACTAGGTAATCTATAGCTGCTTTGGCTTTGTGCTGAGGCCCAGAATCAACCTCTATAACACCTACATCCTGTCAATGGCTATCCATTTAAACAAAGCTAGAAAGTGAAATAACTGCAAACAGAAAACATTACATAGTTTACTTCTAGCAGGGGAGAGTAAAATTTTATTATAATATGTGTTAATCACACACAGATAGGATCCCACATTTTCCATTTTTACCAAAACAAAGTATAAACAAACAAGAAAATAAATCACATATTTTACTCAAGTTTACTATTTTAACAAAAACATTTCATACATATGGCTTTTCAATATACAAAAAAAGCCAAAACAAAGAGCTACAAGACAACTGACTAGAAAGTTAATTAAAAAAAGAGGAAGGTTAGACTACAAGTTTTTACTGAAGTAGCATCTTCAAGTAATTAATATTGAAAGTATGTGAAAATTTGCCAAAACCGGTTTGGCTCACCGGTAGAGCGTCGGTCTGCGGACTGAAAGGTCCCAGGTTTGATTCTGGTCAGGGGCATGTACCTTGGTTGCGGGCACATCCCCGGTAGGGGGTGTGCAAGAGGCAGCTGGTCGATGTTTCTCTCTCATCGACGTTTCTAGCTCTCTATCTCTCTCTCTTCCTCTCTGTAAAAAAAATAAATAAAATATATTTTTTTTTAAAAAGAAAAAGAAAAAAAGAAAGTATGTGAAAATTTGAAATACTGGATACAGATTTAGTTAACCCTGAAGAGCAAGGGGGAAAATGCACAAAGGACAATATTTGCACACTGTGAAATTGAGACACTTCATTCTGGATACAAAAGCTGAGATATAATCAGTCTAAAAAATACGACAGAAAAAATGGACAGGATGAATACAATTAGGGCATTTAGAATAAAGGAATAACCCTTAAAGTTTAAAGGAAATAATTTTAGAATCAATTTTTATAATAACTAATAAATTACAGAATCCTTTACCCCAATAAGAGTTACCACTGGAAAATATAAACATGATCTGAAAGGAAATAACCGAACCGGAACTGATAGATAATACAATAAGAAATACTAGGCATGTTCAGAGTACGACCTTATGTTGAGACTAAAGTTAAGGACTTTAAGGACAGTGAGCAATCACCATGCCTTGCCATTATAAACTGTTCCTTCATGTCACTGTGAAGTTCAAATATTAGATCTTACTACTGGTCTGACTCGTTTTACATGTGCAAACAAACACATGGTTTTGTTTTGTTTTTTAAAGAAGAACACTTTATATGACATTCTAAAATGTTTTATGTAGACTTTATATAGGCATCAATAGTAAATCTCGTATTTACACGACAATCTACAAATATAACTTTACAAAAACTGACTCACTGTTCTTTCATAGTTAAAAAATAACTCCCTACCTATAATCAAGGCTCTAAGTAAGTTGTATGATTTTTCAGGTGAAAAAGATCTGAAAATTAGTAAATATCAAAATTACCAACTGCCACCAGGCAAAATTGAGACAATAATTTTGTTCTTTGACCTTAACTCAAAACCATTTTCAGGAGATCTTTAATATATGTTATCCAAAATAAGCACTATAAAAAACAGTGGGCCCTGGCTAGGTTGACAGAGAGGTCACTGACAACTTCTGGTCAGGACACATGCCAAGTTTCAGGTTTGATCCCCAGAATGCAGAAAGCAGCCAATGGATGTTTCTATCATTAATGTCTCTCTCTCTCTCTCCCTTCCTCTATCTCTAAAATCAATTCTAAAAAATTCTAAATTAAAAAAAACACATTTTTTTTCAAAAGGCAATTGAATACTATAGAATTCTATAACCATATAATCATGGTAACATGATTATCTTTATTTTTCCTTTTATAGTAAATCTTCAATTAATCATTCTGAATACACAAATAAGCTAAAAGAAGCCCAGCCAGTGTGGCTCAATGGCTGAGCACAGACCTATGAACCAGGAGGTCAATGCCTAGAATCCTTTCCCAGTCAGGGCACATACCAGGGTTGCAGGCTTGATTGCAAGTTTAATCCCTAGTGGTGGGAGTGGAATAGCCACTCCACTATTCTCTCTTATCATTGGTGTTTCTATCCTCTCTCCCTCTTCCTTCCTCTCTAGAAACAATAAAAAAAAAATTTTTAAAAAAGAGCCAAAACAAATTCATGTTCTGGTTAAGTGTTTTTCTGGTTTACTAAGAGTCAAAAAAAATTTTTTTTAAATATATTTTATTGTTTTTTTATAGAGAGGATGGGAAAGGGATAGAGAGCTAGAAATATCGATGAGAGAGAAACATCAATCAGCTGCCTCCTGCACACCTCCCACTGGGGATGTGCCTGCAACCAAGGTACATACTACCCTTGACCAGAATCGAACCCGGGACCTTTCAGTCCGCAGGCTGCCATTTTATCCACTGAGCCAAACTGGTTAGGGCAAGAGCAAAAAATGTTTTTCTTTTGTAGCAATTACTACCAAAAAGTATTCCTAAATTGTACTATTTCCCTTTAGCCAGAAATGGTGAACACATTAATCTTTCAGGATAGAGATGATTGCAATGCTTCAGTCATCATACTGAACCACTTAATGAGGACTCAATACTCTACAGAAGTAACAAAGGTTAAGGGTTTAGCTAATCTGTGTCCTGACGACCTGGAAGGATATTTTGATTTTCATATTTTGCCAACATATGCTCATTTATTTTCGCTATTCCTCATTAATAAAAAATATAGAGGATAAAAAAATTCTATACTGCATTCAGGTAATTAGGGCTTTATTATTTTGTTTTAAATGCACCTCAATATAGATGGTGTTCACAGGTAACACATTTTTTATACCTATACCTATCAACTTAAGGATCTGAAGCTAAAGTTTTCTTATTCAACGATAGATGGCTATTTCAAAATTTTAGAATCTTTTTCTCTTAATTTTTATAAGATCTCTCTTCCTCCCCTTTCCACTCTTACTCTGATATTAATTGATAGTTGTTCAATTACAATAACTTAAAATTAAAGCTATTTAGAAAATATTACAACATCCCTAAAAATAATTGCATTTCCCCTAAAGAGAAAAAAAACCAAAATTGGGAATTGTCACTTTCCTGACCAATTATAATGTCCACACTTTGCTTTTTAATGGTCTCTCTTCCTAGGATTTCCTTTCATGGGTCTAGGACAACTTTAGTTTAGAAAAGTATTTTCTATAATTATGTAATGAATATGTTCTTTGGAAGCAATCATAGGAAAATATGACACATCTTTGTTGCAAAGACGCATTAGCGTCCTCCTTTGTAAAATGGAGGTACTGGATCCTACCTCATGAAGTTCTGCTGCACGAAACTAGATAAACCATGCACCATACTTAGAACTGGGCCTAGTAAACTGTAAGAACTAAGTAAATGTTAGGTATTCTTATGTGTTTTCACTCAAAAAGGATGCTTTTCATCTGCAATTTATAACAGATTAAGAAGAAAAACTGCAACCTACTTAGATTACAAGATGAAATAGAATTTATTTGAAAAATGCAGCAATCCAATATTTTAAAAAATGTTTTTTGGGAAAAATGACATCATTTATAATTAACAGGGACATTAAAATGAGCTCAAAGGGTAAAATATTATGAGGAAGTGACCAAAATGATCTCTACCCTTAATTCATTTTATTTGAAAACATCAAAAGATTAGTTGGCCATAAAACAAAGAAAACCTAGTGGCATTATTTAAAATTTTATTTTTAGCCGGTATCGGTTTGGCTCAATGGATAGAGCGTCCGCTTGGGGACTGAAGGGTCCCGGGTTCGATTCCGGTCAAGGGCATGTATAATACCTTGATTGTGGGCATATCCCCAGTAAGGGGTGTGCAAGAGGCAGCTGATCGATGACTCTCTCATCGATGTTTCTAACTCTCTATCTCTCTCTCTTCCTCTCTGTATAAAAATCAATAAAAATATATTTAAAAAAAAAGACTTATAACATTTTTTTTTTTTAAACTAAGAAGCCATTCATTTCAACTATGAAGATAGTTCAGGACTGCCCAGCCCTCATGGCTCAGTGGGTGAGAATCGACCTGTGAACCTTCTGATTCCCAGTCACATGCCCAGGTTGCTGGCTGATCCCCAGTGTGCACGAGGCAGCCAATCAATGATTCCCTCTCATCATTGATGTTTCTATCTCTCCCTCTCACTTCTTCTCTGAAATCAATAAAAATACGTATTTTAAAAAAAGACAGTTGAGGATAAAAACAAAACAAGTGACTTCTGGAGTCCACTAGACCTGTGCTAAAGCAAAACCTAATAAAAACACAATTTCTAAACAAGAGGAAACTATTCTCTTATTACTGTTACTCTATCATTCCCCTTTTTAGTTTACTTCTGAAAAATCACAAACGCATGACAAAAAATTACAATTACCAACAAACCTCTCTTCTATCTCCATTGTTTACCAGTTCTATCAAAGGCATAGCTACATATTACCAATAAAGTTTTTAAAAATTCAAAGCTAACATTTTTTTTCATCATTCTCCAAAAATGACAATGGCCAAGCCCAATACCCGCCCACTCAAAACTTATTAGCTAACGATATGCATTCAAATAAGCAAGTGTAGTAGGTGCCAAATAAAACAGGAGAGTCACCTTTCCATTCAATGACGATACGAAACCGCGAAGAAAAAAATTAAAAGGTTCACCAATACTAACACGAGAAAAATCAAGTAACAAGATAACTAACACTTGTTCATTTTCAAAGCGGAATTCTTAGCCTGAAAATGTTTCGATTATTTTTTTAAATCCCCTTCCATTCAGAAAAAAATCCTGCCCGCTCACAAGCGCATCTCAGCAGCCACAGCGCCGAGCACAACAGAGATGAAGACGAAGGTAACACCGGAGGGATTTACACAATTTCCCTGCTAGATGGGGAGGAGGGGCGTGTCCCCCCAAGGTTTTCGCTTCCTTTCCACTGGAAAAGGGCAGCCGGGAAGCGTTACACGGAAAACCCACGCACACAACTTGCACGGCCCTCAGAATTTGTGTGGGAAGCAAAAAAGAAAGGAGGAAAAAAAAAAATGTTTCGAAAAGGTGCCGAGGAAAACCGGCTCGGGGCGGCTTTCGGCTCACGGCGGGGGTCGGTGGAGCCGCGCGGGGAGCCCGCCTGGGCTCACCCCGGGAAGCGGAGGGAAGCAGCGCCAACCATTGGTCCACCCGCTCCGCCCCTGCCCCCCTCCGCCAGCCCACCCGAGACGCGCAGGGGGTGGGCGTCAGAAAGTGCAAACCACTGAGGAAGGCGGACGGGTCCTGAGGCTCCCGGGGTGTCGGGGGTGAGGGGGGGACCTTCTGTACCCGTTGTTCTCCGCACGAGAGCAGCTCCGGGTAACTGAACTCGACGCAGCTCTCGTCCGTGGGATCCTTGAGCACCAGCTCCAGGCGCACCGTCTCCCTCGGCGGCCTCCGCTGCGGGGAAGCCGACTCCCGCGGCGGGGGCGGCTGCAGGGGAAGCTGCGGGAGCGGCGGCGGCGGCGGCGGCTCGGGCCGCGGGGGCTCGCGCTGCAGCGACATGGGCGGCTCGGGGCGGCCGCCCTCGCGCGGGGCGGGCGGCTTCTCCCGCGGCGGCGGCGGCGCGTCCGAGCGGGGGGCAGCCTCCCGCGGGACCGGCTGCTCCGCCCGCACCGGCGGCTCGCGCTGCGGCTGCGGCTGCGGCTCCAGCCGGGGCGGCTCGCGGGGGTACTCGGGCTCGCGCTCGGCCCCCGGGTACTCGGCCTCGCGCCGCCTCACCGGTGACAGGCTGATAAACGCTACTCGGCGCGGCTCCGCCATCCCTACTGTTCTGGCCCTCTGCCCTCGCTCGCGCCGGCGCCCGGGTCGGCGCCGAGTTGTGTGCCTGTCCGCCCTTCCTCTGGCTCTCCGTCGCTTTTCTTCCCTCCGCCGCCCTCAGCCGTTGCCGCCGACGCCACCGTGAGTGCGGTCCGTGCCCGCTTCCCCGCCGCTATGTCCTGGTGGGCTCCACCGCCATCGCCAGGGTCGCCGCGGCCGCCATGTTGGATCCCCCACATAAATAGAAGCAGGCCGCGAGCGGGCGCATGCGCACTCGGGAGGCGCTCCCGTCCACCTCCGTGGCTGCGGCTCAGTTTTCCTCCCAACAGTCTGGGAGTCCAGACAGGTCAGCGGAAGTGACGTACGTCGAGGCCGGTTTCCTTGGAAACGGAGACGCTGTCTGCGCCCTTTCTGAAAGGGAGGGGTTGAGGGAGGTGGTTCCCAAGAAGCTTCGTATCAGCATCCGGAAACCCGAGGCGCTAGCTAGCCGAGGGCGAGCGTCTGGATGTGCTTGGGACCGACCTGGTCATGGCGCTGAGTCCCGTCGGGCACGTGCCACCCGCTCTCGGCTCTAGAGTTGGGTTGTCAGGTGGTTATTCCGGGCGGATTCGGGGAAAGTGTAGGGGGATGCGAGGACTAGCTGATATACCTGCCCGCCCTAGCTGATTTTTTCTTTTAACTTTTTTTTAAAGTGAACCTTGCAAAGCTTTTCCACAGAGAGGAAGAGAGAGGGATAGAGAACTAGAAATGTCGATGAGAGAGAAACATCGACCAGCTGTCTCCTGCACGCCCCTTACGGGGATGTGCCCGCAACCAACGTACCAACGTACATGCCCTTGACCAGAATCGAACCTGGGACCTTTCAGTCCACAGACCGAGGCTCTATCCACTGAGCCAAACCGGTTTCGGCAGCCCTAGCTTATTGAGGGGAAGAAAGGAAATGGCTAACTCCAGCGGGACTCGCCAGGCGGCTTCCCTCCGCTGAGCGCAACACTGACTCCCACAGGCCGCCCTGCCCGAGCCCCACAGTTGCCTTGCTTGGCCCGGGGAGGAGGAGGAGAGAGGAGGAAGAAGGATTGCGTGTGGCAAGGTCGAAAATGCGCAAAAACGTTTTGCATTTGGGAAATGGAACACGCCAGTGAACAGCTCTGGGGTCTTTCATAAAGACTCAAGTGTTGATATGAATCGCAAAGTGCTTAAGAGGGTTTGGTGGTATTGTAGGGGACATACTCTCTGAAAGTAGGTGCTGAGAGATCCACTGCAGGGTGGGGGAGAAACCTGGGTCGGGCACGCCCTGCAGGCACTCCCAGATAGACTAATTAGATTGCATATTAAATGGATGACGGTTACTGTCCGTTTTCAGCCATTAAGTAGGAAGTAAATTTCAGGGCTCGCCCTCCACATCCTTGAAGGAAATCCTGTTAATTCCATTAACCGGATAAGAACAATGTTACCCATTGACGGAGCTCCGAGTCGAGTCGTGTGGCGTCACAGAACAATTCTGAGTACTTTTTTTGTTTGTTTGTTTTGCTCTCCTATTATGTTCCCTGAAGATGATGATGGGATAGATGGTTCCAGAGGTCCCTCCCAGCTCTAAAATGCTGTCATTTCCCCCTCGGCACTCTGTTTTACCTCCAGGATCCTCTTTCCCTTTGCTCCTCCTCTGATTCTGCCATTAGAGTCGCATTTTTGTCACCTGTCTTCAGTCTCTTTTCCTCCCGTCTTGCAATGGAGGATATTACTACTTCTAAAATACTTTTTTTTTATAGTATTATATCACTTTGTTCTAGCTGCAACTTACTACCTGCAAAGTAAGATGGTTTGCCCTCTGGAGTTAAAAGTTAGGAAAAGCTTAATTGGCAATGTCAGAGACAAACAGAATCAACATTAATAGATAGTATGGAATACAGTTCATGACTTCTTATGCTTATCTTCTCTGAGGATGGCATATTTAAGACGGAAAGTCTTGAGAAGATGATAAAGGAGGGTACCACATAGAAAGAAAAGCAAAGGTAAAATCTGCAGAGGAAGTGGCCTTGAAGGGTTGGAAAAAAGGTCAGAATGGCTGGAGCACAGCCAACAAATAGGGGAGAGATAAAGGAGATAAATCCCAGCAAGAGGTAGGGGCCAGGTCTCAAGGACTGGGAGATGATTCCTGCATTTGGCAAATGGAGATTATTAGTGACTTTGAGGAGCTTTTTTAGTTTGTGGCACATTATCCTCATTGGTCTATGCAAGGCCCTTCTCAATATCTCTTTCCTTTCTCTCCCTCTCTCTGAAATTTTTCTTTTTTTAAAATACATTTTACTGATTTTTTTATAGAGAGGAAGGGAGAGGGATAGAGAGCTAGAAACATTAATGAGAGAGAAATATTGACCAGCTTCCGCCTGCACACCCCCTATTGGGGATGTGCCGGCACCAAGATACATACCCGTGACCAGAATCGAATCTGGGACCCTTCAGTCCGCAGGCTGAGGCTCTATCCACTGAGCCAAACCAGTTTCGGCTCTCTGAAATTTTTCTTATCATCGTATACCTCCAACAGAAATTCTGAAGTTTGACTTTTTGTGTGTGTGGGAGCTTGTAAATATGTGTATTATTTTGCATGCATATATTATTAATTTGTAAAGTCAATGTTATGTATCTTATTTTGTTTCCTTTTTTACCATATATTTTCTAAATCTTTATTGTTGAGAGTATTAGAGATGTCCCCCATTTCTCTCCCATTGCCCCCCTTCCACCTGGTTTCTGCCCCGCCCTAGGCCTGTACCACTACAGTCTGTGTCCATAGGTAATGCATGCATGCATAAAAGATCTTTGGTCAATCTCTTCCCCACCCACCCTTTCTTCCCTCTGAGATTCCTCAGTCTGTTCTATGTTTCAATGCCTCTTGGTTCATGGGTCGATGTTCAACCACTGCACCACACTGGCTGGGCTAGTTTATAACTTTTGAGTAGTAATCTGCAATGGTATATTTTGTCTATTCATTTAGTGATGGGCACTCAGGTTGCTTCCTGCTCTTCCCTCACTACCACAGAGCAGCTATGAACATACTCATTCATCTGTGCTTTGGATCTGTGTAAAAATGTATTTGGGACAAATACTTAGGTTAGAACTGTTGGCTCCTAAGATACCCAAACACATTATGGGGCTGCTCTCCAGAATAGCTGAAGCAGTGCATATGAATTCCTGTATCACTTTCTGCCCTTCACTGCATTGCCACCACCAAATCCAGTTTTATTTTTGGCAATTATTATTTTAATTTGCATTTCTCTGATGACTAAGGAATTTGAACATCTTTTTCAATGCCTGTTAGTCTTTTAAATTTCCTCTTTGTAAATTTCCTGTTTATAATCATTGTCTATTTTTGTATTTGTCCTTCTTCCATTCTCTGTTTTTCTCTTGTTGCATATACAAAAATTCCTTTCTTTTTTTAATTTAATTTCTTTATTATTTAAAGTATTACGTATGTCTTCTTTTTACCCCATTGACCTCTCCCTAGCCACTCCCACCTTCCAGCACATACCCTTACAATAATTTCTTATCAGTGAGAAAAGAATTAATTATTTAATAAACAGTTAACAACATAGGCATATGGACATGAATAAAATTGTATTCACTAGAAAGCATAAATTTCTAGTGAATCAAAGTTTTAAATGTCAAAAGTGAAACCATAAAAACTTTAGAAGAAATCAGCTGAGATTTTAAATAATCTCACACTAGAGAAGACATAAGTATATTTTATTTTTTATTTATTTTTATAACATTTTATTGATTTTTTACAGAGAGGAAGAAAGAGGGATAGAGAGTTAGAAACATTGATGAGAGAGAAACATCAATCAGCTGCCTCCTGCACAACCCCCACTGGGGATGTGCCGCAATCAAGGTACATGCCCTTGACCGGAATCGAACCTGGGACCTTTTAGTCCACAGGCCGATGCTCTATCCATTGAGCCAAACTGGTTAGGGCATACGTATTTTTTATCATTTCAATTATTTAAAATAAATTTCTGGTGACAGGAAAATAGCCTTTCAACTAATAGACATGACAAACTTTAAAAAAATTGCAACATATTTCACAAAGGGTAAATTTCCCTAATTTATAAAGAGTTCCTGTAGATCAAGGAGAAACAACAATAATAACCTAATACTGGTATACTAGTAAAAATGTATACAAATAGTTCACAGAAAGGGAAATAAAACAGCAAATGAAATATGTTTAACCTGGCTCAACTGCTATATCAAAAATATGTGAAAGAATATATGCACCAAAAATTATATATATCCTTATGTTCATAGCAACACAATTTACAATAGCTAAGATTTAGAAACAGCCTAAATGCCCATCAGCAGATGAGTGGATAAAAAACCAAGGTACAGCCGAAACTGGTTTGGCTCAGTGGATAAAGCGTCGGTCTGCGGACTGAAAGGTCCCAGGTTTGATTCTGGTCAAGGGCATGTACATTGGTTGTGGGCATATCCCTGGTAGGAGGTGTGCAAGAGGCAGCTGGTCGATGTTTTTCTCTCATTGACATTTCTAACTCTCTAGCCCTCTCCCTTCCTCTCTGTGGAAAATCAATAAAATAAAACAACAACAACAAAAATCTATGGTACATTTATACAACGGAATACTACATGGCAATAAAAAAGAAAACTCTTACCATTTGCAACAGCATTAATGGATCTCGAGAGTATTATGCTGAGCAAAATAAGCCAGTCAGAGAAAGGTAAGTATCACATGATCTCACTCATCTGTGGAATCTAATGCATCAAATAAACTGATGATTAAAAATAGACCCAGAAGCATGAAAAGACTGTTGAACCTCTCAGAGGGAAGGCAGAAAAGGGTGAGTGGGAAGAAATCAACCAATGAACTTATATGTAGATATGTATAACCTGTGGACACAGACAATGGGGAGATTAGGGTCTGGGGCAGGGAGGATGGGAGTAGCTGGAAGAGGTTTATGGGGGAAGAAGGACCTAACAATACTTTCAACAGTAAAGATTAATAAAATATAATAAAAATATGTTCTTTTCTAACTTCAATAAATTGCCTTCCATAGAAAATATCAATTTCTATTCCACCAACTATGTATGAGGGTCTCTATAGCTCTACTAGAGGCCTGGTGCACAAAATTCGTGAATTGGGGGTCAGTCCTTCAGCTAGCTCTGCACCCTCTCCAATCTGGGACCTCTCAGGGGATTTCCATCTATGGGGATCAGGTCTAAACTGGCAGTCAGACATCCCTCTCACAATCCGGGGCCACTGGCTCCTAACCGCTCGCCAACCTGCCTGCCTGATCACCCCGTCTGCTCCCCTGCTGGCCTGATCGCCCACT